CTAGCCATGACCAGTCAATTCAGATAAACAGAGACCATTTAAATGATCAAAACCAACAATCTCTTCATGTAAAGAGAAGTTCAAATACAGTTCTAGCTGAGTTTGGACAACTCTCAATGAAATCAATAGACATTTTTGTGTAATAATTGGAAGCATACAGTGTTTCATAATACAAACATGGATTAAAATGGCATTGTTGTGTCTAAACAAGAGGGCCCGCTCATGGGCCAGCAGAGAAGATTGTAAGCCTGATACTGTGCCTGTTGAAAAGAATTATTGGTTTACTTTTATATTCATTTGAGTCAGTGGCAAAATTCCTATTGTCTTTTGATGGTTGCAGGGTCAGCCCTTATACAAGCCTTATTAAGTAAAAAGCAATATCGATATGAGCAATATACTTATTAAGTAAAAAGCAAAATCGATATGAGGGGGGTGAGGGGAGGGAGTTTTCTGTTGAAGTCCTGTGCCTTGCTAGACAAAACCTTCATATTTCTTTCCTTTGACTTAACAGGAAATAGCATCCTCTAGCCATTCAAGTCTGCCATCTAATGACTTGCTAACAGGATAATTTTTTAGACGTATAAGGAACACTCAGAAAAGTGCAGTTCCACTGCTCTGTGATTTCCCTCTCCCAGTCTCCTGGAACTATGTATATCTGATTTTGTCGTCTTTTGTTTGTTGTCATAGATTATTTGGACAGGAAGGTTTTGTACCATTTGAAATGGCAAATCTGTGTTTGCACGGGCAATTACTGTGCAGTTGCAGTTGTAAACAGGATAATTTGTCATGCAACTTGCCAGTTAGGCAAAAAAGAAGGGAATTTCAAAAGCCCACACCTGAACATTTCTCACTGTAAGTAAATTATTTTGTCTTACAATTTTAGTAATGTGAGTGCATTTGTGTATGCACCAACTGAAAAAGAGTCCTGGCATATTTGCTTCCAAGCTTCAAGAAAGAAACCATGGTGTAGGAGTAGAATATCTGTGGCTGCATGTTTTATTGAGCTCCCCAAGAAACACCATTGCAAACATAATGGACAGTGAGCTGATTTATAGTGTCATCTCTAACAAACCCAATATTAATTAATGCTGATTTTTGCACTTATAAGAATCTGGGCCAGAGAATCCTCTACAGTTATAGAATCCCTGAGAAATGTCACCTCAATCCCCTTGTGAAGAAGTCTCATTTATGAGAGAGGTTGCCCTCATCCATGCAGTGGGAAAGCCCAAGGGGCCTGCACCCACTCCTGGTGGACCTTCAGGATCCCAGCTTTGATTTTGGTCCTTAGAGCTGCTGACTGGCTTTCTTTGCATCCCTGGGATTCTCTTCAAGATACAGAGATGAAAGGTGAAAAGATAATGCAGTCCTTGTTTGTGCTAGCTTTTGAAGTGAATCTTAGAAGGGCTGCAGAAGAAATACTGTTAACTTGACATACCCTCTGAATACTGGCCCCATCCCGTGTACTCCTCTGCTGGCTCTTAAGATTTATTCCCTATCTTGGAGGTCTTTGTACAGTCTGAGGCCTTCTTGAACACTGAATGGGGGAAGAAATGTTGGAAGAGGGGTCCTTTTTATCCATAGGTGTAAGTAGAACTTTTTCCCTACCTAGAAGAAAATAAAGACCCTTGACCCTTGTTAGCTTAAAAGTGCAGTGGGATCTGATGTAGGATCCCAACAATGGTGCTTCCTGCCATGCCAGACGTGAATGAATGTATGGCCAGGTCACTACTAAAAATGTGATTAAACAGCTAATCACATCTTAAGTGTAATGTCTGTCAGGTGCCTTAAGAGGTTATCACTTTGTTTTTCACAGAAGCAGATCCACAATAGACCAGATCTTCGCTGTATACAACAGCATGTAGAAAAGTGCTGAGAGTATGACTTGGATATTTGTTCATAGACTTTGAAGAGGCATAAAACAGTACGTTTAGACAGAGCCTTTGGAACATAGTGGTAAAATTTGGATTTCATAATAAGCTCATAAAGTGCTTAAGGTGCGTCTGACAGACACAGAAGGGGGAGTTAAAGTAGAAGGAAAACTTTTTAATGCCTTTGGCTTTGCAATGGGTCTGAGACAAGGTGGTGTACTTTCCCCACTATTATTCAAACTGGTGTTGGAATGAGTTGTTAGATTGGTGATTGAAATTAAAGAAGGGGTCCTATTTAAAACATTGCAGAATATCTTTGGGTATGCAGATGACTTGGCCGTCATATGCCACTACACTAAAGGACTCTGCAGAATGTATAATATTTTAGAATGTACAGCCAAGAGAGTAGGGCATACAGTGAGCAGCAAAAAGACCAAATACATGGAGGTCACTCACAAGAACAGAACTGGAAGAGCAAAACAAGACTTTTGTATGGGAAACAATAGCTTCCCGAAGGTCCAAAAATTCAAGTATTTTGGATCATGATTGACTGACACCAAGGTGAGCAGGGAAATTATTACAAGGATCCAAAGTGGTAATAAAACAGCTGCAGTAGACTTCTTAGGCCTAAGACACTAACCAGAAGAATAAAATTGCAGCTTTACAACACCATTATTACACCTGTAGTATAGACCTGTAGTGATTTATGGGAGTGAGACTTGGTGCATGACCCTGAACGGCCATGACCCCAAAACAGAAACTGATTTGCTTTGAAAATAATATCCTCAGGAAGATGGTTGAACCAGTGAACGACCCAGTGAGGTGAAAAAGCAGGGAGAAAAGCAGTGAAGGACTAAGAAATAACATGGAACAGCCCCTCATCACAAGTGTGTGCACACAGCAGTTAGCATGCATCAGCTATGTGGTGAGAGTAGAGGAGTCTAGACTCAAGAAGCATCATGATTATCTATTATCATCAGTTGACAGGACAACATCCTTGAGGTAGGCCTTGCCAGCAGTTGACAGACAACGTAAGAAGAGGCCTGTATTTAATATAGGACAGAATTGGCAGGAGTTCATTCATGATGGACACAAATAGTGCCATAGTGCTGTAAGTGCTGATTGGCCATTGGGAGGAAAAGGAGGAGAAGGAAGAAGTAGAACAAGTGGCTGTTTTCCATTAGCAAGATGCTGATTATCTGAAAGGTGCCCTTTTTTCAGTTTGCCTGTGTGAGAAGACATTTTTAGAGTTCATGTTTTAAGATTTAAAAAAAGAAAGGGAGTAACAAACCTGTATAGGAATTTTCCATATATGCTTAGGTGACTGGTTTTGTAAATTTAGAGTTTTGTCCTAATAATTTAGAATGAAGCATATGGTGATGCCATGTCCTGGTGTGGCAGTGATAAAACCTGTAAAAGGTTTGACCTTTTGCATCTTAAAGCAGGCGCTTCTACTTCTGGAGCTAAAAAACAAAGCACTGTTAGCCAAAGCTCCAGTCATCTCATCAATCTGTGTATGTGGCCCTCACTCCAGCAGTAGTCTGGGTGAGTGGAGACAGTTAAAATATATTTGTAATACTCTGTTATATCCTTAATCAGGACTTGGTGGTGTTGGTAGTGATGGTAGTCCCTCATGGTAAAGGGCGATCACTCCTTTGGGTCAAATTAAGGGTTGTAGATGAGTCCACTGATCCTAGAGGCACAGACTCTCTGGCAGATGGTGCAGGTGGTGATTAAAAGCAGTGATGGACTGCAGATTTCTTGGGCTTGTTTCCTTTCCTTCCATTTCTGTCATTTTTCTGCCTCTGAGGTGAAGATATACCTTCTCTCACAAGGCATCACTGTGTAGCCCTGTCCCAGGCTGGTTTTTCCTAATTTGTGGTGTCAGTACCACACATAATGTCTGCCTTCAGGGTGTCCTTGAAGTGTTTCCTTTGGCCCCTGCATCCTTGGCAATAGCAGTAGTTTTGGTAAATGTACATCAGACATGTGCACGCAGTACCCTGCCCACTGTAGTTGATGTTGAATAGTCAATGGCACCATGCTGGTGGCGTTGGTGTCGATGAAGACACTGGCATTTGTGCAACAATCCTCCCAGTTTTATGCCAAGCATCTTCCAGAGTTAGCGCTACTGAAGGCATTCCAGGCTTTTCAGGTGGTCCCTGTAGGTCACCGAAGCTTAGCAGTTACAGAGGAGAGTTGGGGTTAACAGCCTTGTGTAATAGGAGCTTTGTTTGAATCCTGATGTTGTGATTGTTGAATACCTGATGTTACACTTTTCCAAAGGCAGAGCTGACACGTTGGATCCTATACTAGATCTCCTTGTCGATGTTGACATTCTTTGAGAGATGGCTGCCAAGGTATGCAAAGTATTCAACATTCTCCAGCTTCTCTCTGTCAATGTGACTCTTTGCTGGGGGAGTTAATTGGCCCAGAGCAGGCTGGTGAAGCACCTTTGTTTTTCCAATTCTAAGGGTCAGTCCCAGGCAGTGGTATGCTTGAGAGAAGCAGTTAAGGGCCACTTATAGGTCCTCCTCAGTATGTGCACAATCTTCAGCGTACTGAAATTCCACAATCAAGGCCAGTGTTTTGACATAGAGGCAGGGAAGATTAGAAAGGTTTCCGTCCATCCTGTACTCGATGCTGATGTCACGTGGCAGTCAGTCATAGATAAGCATCTTGATGACTGCAGGAAAGATGGAAAACAGAATTGGTGTGATCATGCAGACCTGTTTGGTGTCAGTTCAAATGACCGAGCTCCATAACGGAATCACTGCATAGGATGGTCATGAAAGGAGTCTTAGGATGGTGATAAATTTTCCTGGGCAGCCAGACTTCAAAAAGATCTTCCATAGAGCCTCACAGTTAAGTGTGAAAAGTTTTGGTCAAATTGATAAAGGCCATGTACAATTTCTTGTGGTGTTCTCGTCATTTTTCCAGGATCTGGTGGGCCACAAAAATCACCCATTCTTGATGGTCCGAAGCCACACTGAAATTTGAGAAGGATTTCATCGGCAAGAGGGAGCAGTAGATTCTGCAGAATTCAAGCAAAGATCTTTCCAGTGATGGAGAGGAGGGTGATGTCTTAATAGTTTCCACAGTCAGACTTATCTCCCTTTTAAAAATGGTGACAATATTGGCATTTCTTAGGTCTGTGGGTATTTTAGTGCTTCAGATTTTAAGGAACAGTGTATGGAGCTTGTTGGTCATCGTTTCCCCACCATCTTTGAAGACCTCATCTGGTATGTTATCAGGGACAGATACTTTGTTGTTCTTCATGTGTTTTATCAGCTGGTGGATTTTTTCAGAAATTAGTGGACTGGCAAGTGCTTCCTTTACCAAATGCTGCAGGATGGATTCAATGGTTCATTAGTCACCATTGATTCTCAGTTCAGGAGCTTTTGGTAGTGCTTGTTCAGTGGTTTTTGATGGACTTGTTGTTTTTGAGGCATGTACTGACAGCTAAGTGGGGTGAGTCTGCAAGAATTTGGAATCAGATTGTGAGCTGAATGACTGAATTCCCTATCACTTTAACGAGTGTCTCATGACCCTCTGCCTCCGAATGACCAATAATTCATTTGGTACCGTCATCAGTACATATGCCCCAACACTCAATGCAAAGGAAGAACAGAATGAACAGTTTTATGCTGACTTTGATGAAATCCTGAATATCATCCCCAAAGAGGACAAGATCATCCTCCTTGGAGACTTCAATGCAAAAGTTGGATGGGACTTTAACATGTGGAAGGGCACCATTGGGAAGGAAGGAGTGGAGAAGGCCAATTCCAATGGCATCCTTTTACTCAGTAAATGTGCAGAGCATGACCTTTCTCATTACTAACAATATCTTCAAACAATGTGACGGGTACAAAATAACATGGCAACACTCCTGCCCAAAACAACGGCACCTCCTTGACTATGTCATCGTAAGAGCATATGATTGAAAAGTTACCTTGCATGTCATGAGAGGAGTTGATAATGGTCGGACCAGTCATCGGTTTGCGAGATCAGTCGCATCCATCAGGATTACACTGAAACATTGAAAGCAACCAAAATCAGTCTGAAGACAGTACAACATCAAATGCCTTCAGACCCCTAGACCAGGGATGAGGAACCTCTGGTCCACTGGTCGGCCGGGGAGTCCATTTCCCAGCTGCCCCTGCTCCCATGGCTTGTGCCAGCCTCCATGGAGACCTCAGCCATGCTGGCAATGCATGCAGCATAGCATAGCAGTGCAGTGCAGCACAGCGCAGCACAGGGGACAGGGGCAGTTTGCTCAGGAGACGTGGTCTGTAGCCTGCATGCTCTGGGCAGGGGCACGCATGCAGGGGATAATGGCTCTGCCCCAGCTCCAGACAGGCTGTTACCGCTGCAAGCCAGGTGGGCAGGTGCAGCTGGGAAATGGAGTCCCCAGCTGACTGGCTATGGCCCATGGGCCAGAAGTTCCCCATCCCTGCCCTAGACACTGCAAAGCCCTCCAAACACATCTCAGTAAGAAACTTGACAGCTTTTGGATTGAAAATAATAACACTTTTGTGTTGAGGAAGATTGGCAAGCATTGAAAGAGTCTATCCACATGAAGATTGCACAGAATCAATTGGCTTTATCACCTGAGGCCATCAGGACTGGTTTGATGAAAACAACACTGAGATCAGACTCCTTGATGAGTAGACAAAAACTTTCTGTGACTGGCAAAAGCATCCTACATCCAGTCAGAAGCTGGGAACTTTTTGATGGTTTAAAGCTGAAGTCCAGAGGAAGATTTGAAAAGTCAAAAACACATTTTGGGACCAGAAGGTGAAAGAAATCCAACAATTTGTTGACAGTTATGACGTGGAGCTTCTTCAGTGTAATCAGGACTACAGAACAGCTGAACAAGGGATCTGCACTAAAACCTTGTTTCCAGACTGTACACTTGAGCCTGGAGTATGCCCTGACACAATGTGGGGAATGTAGTCATTACAGCATGCATATTTATGTAGTACAGACATAATTAATAAAGCTCATATTTATGTGCCTTATTAATGAATCTCAGTGCTTTGGCTTTAGGAGTTCCTGAAAACCTCTAACAGTACAATAAGAAACAAGTTCTCATAAGACTGCAGATTCCTCAGTGCCTTCCAGCATTTACTTAAGAACGCTAGACTTTGGCAGAACACCGTATAGTTGATTCATAATGAATACATTTTGGGCAATGTGCCAGAGCATAAGGGTTCAGTATGATCAAGTGGAATCTTAGTATTTATCCTATTTATGTTCCAAAATGTAGCTGTTCATTTACATTTTTCCAATATGCCAAATAAAGTTTATTATGTGGTGGTGTTTAAAATATTATCCTTATAGTTTATAGTGTTAAATGGTATAAAAACACTTGGTGATAATATAGACTAATTATAGTTTGCTTATTTGAAATGCCTGAATAAGAAAAGCCATCTAAATGTAGGCTGCTATTAATGTTGGGCACACGTTAGATTAGAAAAATATGTCCTGCATTACAGGAGCAGGTTATTTGCAAGATCAGTATTCAGAACAAGAAACAGAAGTTAAGTGTACTGATTTAAAAAAAAATGGAACAGCCTGTCATCAAGTTAATAGTGAGGTTAGGGGTATGAGGTGTCAGGAAACAATGTTTTGTATGTAATGAGTATGACAAGATATCTGTTTGTAGCAGCTTGGAGGATAAAATGTAGAAAAATTCCTGACATTTAAATGTGAACCTGAATCCAGGGAGATCTATATTCACTTTGTTATAAGCAGGGTTGCTTGGATTAAATGCAGCAATCATATACTGAGGTTAAGCTAACCTATGTTAGCTGATTCTAGAAGAACTATTAGGGAGAACAGGTGTCCTTGATTGGTGTAGACTTTGCAGTTCTACAGTATGTGAGGTTATTAGGTTTTTATGTTGTTGTAATAGGTAGGCAGGTGATATTGGATATGCTCTAAATCCAAAGTGGGTTAGACATGATTATAATGATTTCTGTAGATCACTTTGGGCCCCTTCATCACATTTGATGGTACCTTGCTCAACAAGTAGTCCCATAACTTTTAGTAGGATTTCACATGGGATGCAACCCTACCTATCATGAGTTAGGTGTTGAGCATAATGTCTGATTAGGACAGATTGTTAGAAGGAGTAGATTTGGAGAAGGGATATGAAGAAGGAAATGGCACTTGCAGGTCAAATGGAAACAAAGCATTGGAAGAGGTGAATCACTGATTTTTAAGGCCCAAAGGGACCATAATGGTCATCTACAATGGCATGCTGCATAACACATGTAACAGGAATTTTATAGGCTTGGAACTTCATGCAGTTCTTCATGCATTGAGCTTGATTGTGTAGTATAGGTTTTGGGCGTATCTTAAAAAGACATCTGGTATTGTGTTAAATAATTATAGATGGAAACTCTACCATATCCCTTGTTCTAGTGGCTAGCTATTCTTACTCTTCACGTGCTTTGCCTTATTTCAAGTATTTTCAAGTTTTCTAGTTTCAGCCTTCAAACAGTGGCTCTTTGAATACAGGCAGTCCTCAAATTAAAATGTTTTGAGTTACAACGCTTCGCACTTACAACGTTTATAAATTGACACCCTGTTTCAACTTTCTGACATCAGTTTCAACTTTACGGCGCTTGATCTGATGTGATAACACGCCAGTGAACGAGTTTGCTGCATTGCCCATCTCCCTGGAGAACATCTGTCCAAAATTCCTTGGACATTTTCTTTAAGAAAGCAGACAAGACACCAGAAAAACCTGCAGCCTAGGCTCCTGAGAAGACTGCAGCCAAGAGCCCTTCAAAAAGTCACCTCAGAGAAGTCCTTCCAAATCAATATGATTGCTATTTACAGTATAAATACATTTATGTAGCTATATTACTCATCTATAATTGATTGAGTACAAAATTCTTGGTTATTTTTGGTGAAAATAGGGTATTGGGCCTTGGTTCAGGAACCAATCCCCCATTTATAACATTGTTTCCTATGGGAAAATCGGTTCCGAGTTGCAACGTTTCAACTTAAGACACGGTTTTCAGGAACCAATTGTGTTGCAAGTCCGAGGATTGCCTGTACCTTTATCTGCTAGCTTGCACAGCCACCTTGTATCAGGCATCTCTTCCCTGTACTGTCTACCAAGACCATGTCACCTCTTACCCTCCCCTTTGATGTATTATACAGGTTGCACTCCTGGAGTTCTTGGTCCCAGATGTCAGTCTTCTCATTTATCTGTGGTTAAGTGCAACAAGAAGACAAGAACAGGAGAAAGAAATTATGATCTCTGGTATGTGAAAGGAGTAAAGGGAGGAGAATAGGAAAGCTGTTTAGGAATTAGACTATGCTGATGAATGCATTTAGAGGTGAGCAAGATGCTTGAATTTATTTCAAGATAAGGGAAGCCAGTAGAGAAATTCATGTCTCTTATGGAACTGAAGAAACAGGAGAAGACTGCAATTAAAAGAATTTGGATAGACTGGGGTGGAAAAGGGAGGCAAATGAGGAAGTCTGGAAATAGGGAGAGATGGAAGAGGAGAGGAAAAAGGAGTAAACTAGTAGATGTAAAGAAAAGCAAAAAGTCCCAGTTTGATGTGGGTGTCCTAGAAACTCATTTGGAGAATTGTTTCTTGAAACATGTTTTAGCAGCTATGCACAGGTCAAAATGCAAGCAAGCCAGGAACAAGATACATTTCCAATGCCACTGAGAATAGCGTGAGCAGCTCAAAGCTCTTGTATTCTTAATGAAGCTTTTGTGTTGGCCGGCAGGGAACCATTGGTATAATGAAATAATTAGCTCCCAAATAGTCTTTTTCAAAGCAGTATAAATATTACTATTTCCACACAGAACCCAGGATGCAGAGGTGACCTGCCTTAGGTCATCCAGCAGGCCTCTAGGAGAGCGGGAAACAGAACCTGGGTTTCCTAATTCTCAATCCACTGCCTTAACCACATACAGAGAGCATACCCTTAATAAGAAGGGCATGTAGTAATTTTTCACAACACTTCGGGCACTGAACTCTCACTGTGGTACATAGAAATCTTGCATCTGTCTGTTGCCTCTGAAACTGCATGCATACAGCAGCACTAAGGACAGGGAACTTAGAAGCAGGCAGCAACTTTGGAGAAGTTCTGGACCATTAGCCTGAGCAG